TTCTTGACCACTTGGTGGCGATTTCAAATTGTCAGGCATTGTTTTTGATTGTGAATTGCTCATGCATGTCTAAATGCGCCAGCGAGGCTTTTTGGCGTACGACGACGTTACTGTATTCTCGTCGTTTTATTGCGTGCGGGATTTCATCATATACGAGCCACGTGCTTTCATACTCCCAATATCGCACAGCAGCAGTGAGCCACGCATCAAGAATAGTTTCAAGTGTGATCGACAGTATACAGGAGCCATTTTTGTGCGCTTCAGGTCGGCCGAGACTGCTTTGCTCGAGTTCTTTCTGCCCGCTCCCTCTGGCCGGGGCATTGTTGCCCTCGGACTGATCCACAGGGCCATTCTCGGTTCCGGGCCGCGCATGTTTAACGGTTTTGTTTGCCTTGACTTCTCTCCCCGTTTTCCGCGCGCTCCTCGTGACCCTTGTGCATTCGTTCGCCGCACTACATGTTGCGGTCTCCATTTGGCGCGGTTCGATTGCAGAATGTCCGTCCATATAGCGTTGTTCAGCAGCAGGTGCGCAACTGCGTGTTGCGTGCGCCATCTCTCCTACTAGAGTGGAAAAACATGTTCAGCTGAGGCAACCATTCGCTTCCCACCCTCTGTTGGGCCTCCGGGATTGGCGGCCGCCTGCTTGAATTTTTCGTTCTCATTTTTCCTTTGTTCCTCTCTCTTCTCCTCCTGCCTCTTTTCCTTGGTGTTTTGCGACTGTTTGAAGTTTCTTCCCCCGTTTGTACAGTGTCAAAACCGATGCGTGGTGGGGAGTTGCCGCATGTCCGAGGTTGTTTAAAAGAAATATAGAACATAGATTTAAGATTTTCTGTTTCGAATTTAAAGAGTTAAAATGAACCAAATTAATGAAAGTTGTGTAGTCGAGTGCTTTTGGATGATGCAGCGTTTTATCCGGATTTGTCGTTTTCATTGTTGTTTGTTTGTTCACGTCGAGTACAGAATGTCTGTTGTGTGCCACGCCTCGTTTTGTGTTCAAGCTCCACTGGACGCTCTCCTTTCTCGTTTTCTGTGTTCGCTCGGTGCAACAGATGCAGACGCTTTGTGTCAATCAAATTTAGCCCCGCGCAGTTCTCGTCGCGATATCAGCATGTTGGGGGTCGTCCATAGAGCCGTCTTGGGCTTGGGCCCCGCCTGTTTTCAGTTTTTCTTTGCTGGGCGCGGCGCCGCCCCCACTCCCAGGAGATCGCCATTGGTGTTGTTCGTATGTGCAATTTTCACCGGGGCTAGCTCCTGGTCTACCACTTGAGAGCTCGCATAAAACACATATATCCAAGGTTTTTTGTTTCCAGCCGCTTTGTTTTGATGTTACGACATTGGTGAATGAGTACGCAAATAAACAAAGAACATATGTTGATCCGAAAAAAGAAAAACGTTGTGTCCAGAAGCCAGCCAGTTGCGTGCAATGTCAAAGTTTTAGCTGTGGAGTTTTCGAAATTTCAGATGCTGTACAAAGTTGTGTGTATTGGTATTCGTTGCTTACACGCAGTCGAGCTATTTCTGTTTGCATTTCACAAGCATATGTATATTCATATACACTTATAGAACACATTATAAGCAGGCTCAGTTTCAGCTTGATGAAGCGTTTTGTTTGCTTGTGTTGTTTCCCTTCCTTCGCAGTGTGTATATTTTCGATATCGGTGTTCCTGACCGTGAAAATCTAAACCCTTCCGCCTCGCAGAAATTGCGGGCGATATTCGGCAAGGGGGCAGCGTTCTTTCTTTTGTCGAGTTTTTTTCCACTTGATGCTGCTGTTTTTCCTCCCGTGCGCCGTCGGCATTTTCGTTATATAGTGATCCTTGTCCAGCCTGGGCACCATATTGTGCTATTTTTTCCTCGTTGGGTGGCGTTCGTTTGCGAAACTCGTTGCCAGACGCCGTCGTTCGAGCTCGACCCGCGTGAGTTCGAACCGCAATTTTTTGGTTTAAGTGCTGAGTGTGGTCCTGCAGGTGGCAGATTTTTTGTTGCCATGTGATTCCGTCAGTTTTGTATAAGCATGGCAGACAATGCGGTTCGAGTCTGTCATATTTAGAACTGTAGACAATTGTTGAGAGGCGTGCATGGCTGTTTTTGCGATTTCATTTCTCTGTATGGTCTACACGTCGTGCTTTCAGATTTTCGTGTTTTCTGTATAGCACCCAACATGTGGCATTGTGTCGTCCAGTTGAACGGTTGGCATTTGCTGCAATAGTTCTCAATGTTCGTGTTTTTCTTTCAGAGTTGGATTTCCAGATTGGTCGCAAGGTCGCGGGTTGGTTTGGCTGATGTAAATCCTCGATCCTTTTGTTTTTCTGTAGTCGTTCGTCTGGTCTTCGTTCGCCGTTTTTTTCCTTTCCTCCCTCCGTCTTCGTTTTCCGTGGGCCATGCTTTGCGGAACTCGCGCGCATTTTGCGCGGCAGTAGTGGGCGGGGCTTGGCCTTCATGATTTTTATGCAAGCCCCCGTGTGTCATGGGAAATTTTGGATTCCAGAAGTAGGTGATTCCAATGTTATGTATATATCCAGATATTTGATAGCGCAGTTTTGTTTCTCGTGTGGGTGCAGGCCAGCAGGAATTTCGCAATGAGGAAAGGAAAACGGTCTGTTCCGAGCCAGCGAAGGAATATTTCAACATTGTATACATTTTGAGTTTTCATTCAAGCAATATCCGTGTACTGTGCGTAGTTTGGTAGTGCAATGTCCGTAAGGCGGTGTGCGAGTGCGCGCGTGTTATGACAGATGTGTAGTTGCAGTGCAAAGGGGGGTTGTTTTTTTTTGCAAGGGTCTCGTTTGCCACACTCGCCAGTCCCCATGGTGTTATCGCCTTCGTCTTTCTTATGCAACAGCGGTTTCTGTTGGCGTAGGGTCTTGTGTTCGCTTGTTGTTTGCTCTAGCTCGCCTGTTTGCGTTTGATTTTTTTTCGTTTTGATTGTTTTTGTCATTCCGTTCTCTTCGCTCCGCCCCTGCCTGTTCCTATCGTCCCGTCGCTGGGGCGTTTTAATTTTCGGGTGTTGGCGTCAACCTCTTGTTTCCACGCCTTTCTCTCTCTCTTTCTCTCTTTCTCTCTCGATGAGATTGGCGTCCATGTCAAACGTACATTCCAGCGGCCGCCAGTCCTGTGAGGTTGCATTTGCTGAAGCCATATTTTGGCATGTGCGTATCCATGCATAGCGACAAACGCCAATCCATCGACATAAACGGAAGAGGACCAGTTTTGTCTATTGGTTGGTCTGATATTCAAGAAACGAGGCGTCCAAACAATCATACAGGAAACACATTGCTTATTATAACACTGAACAGTATATGTGGCTATCTATTCATATGGTGGATGTGTCGTAATGATTTCCGTGATTCGAATAACCTTAGTAGTTTGTTTTTTTCAACATTGTTTCGCCCCAGGAGAACATACGGAATCTCAGAGCTATATATATTGGTTGTTGTTTGGTTGCCTTGCCTCCTTGGCCGTGGTCCCCGTGTTCTTGTCGGCTCTGATTTCCTGGTGATATGGTTCCATGTTGGTGGTCGCTGTTATGGTGGCCTTGAGGTGGGTGTGAGGGTAACAGCAACATAACGAAAACACCATATTTGGCCGACATTGTTTCTACGCGTTCTCACGAGGCAGTGCCCGGCGTTTGCTCTGGCAGGTTTTGAGTGAACGTCAACCCAGAACAAGCTTGCAAACGACCGCCAATCGAAAACCCACCATGCAAACGTCGACGGACAGAGGGAGGTGGGGACAGAGAAACGAAACGTCGCACACGTTTTGATTCGAGCCGTCACAAATGCTCCAGGCCAGGCAGGGGGCGCACAAGCAGTTATGTTTACAACAATGTTGCGGAACGCGATCGGACCAACGAGAAAAGAGGAAACGCGACAGAGGGCAGGAACGAGGGATGAAGGGAAGGAGAGGAAGGGGAAGGGGAGGCAGCAGAGAGGACAAAACAGAAACGAGTAAGTAGGACAAGCAAGAGGAGATGGATGGGGATGGCCAGGACCCATCCACAAACGCGCAACGAGCGCGCGCTTTGCGCTCCATACAAAAAGCGGCCGTGAGAGGGAGCACGAATAGCGGAGCAGGAAGGGGCAAGTTCTTTGGTTCGGCCTTGTCTCCGACTGTCCGTGGTCTTTGTTGTATTACGTGTCCGTCTTTTCCTATTGGTCGGCCTTGACCTCGACTGTCCCGTGGCCCGTGCTCATTTCCGTTTCTGCTAATGTTTCGGTTTGGCCTTGATTCTGATTATTCGCGGCGATGGTGATGCCATTCGTTGCCATCATTTCGGGCGGCTCGACAATGTTTCCGACCATTTGTGGCCTTGGTTCCGCCAGTCTTCGTTGCCTTTCATCTTTTCGTTTCAGCCATGCTCCCAGTTTTTCCCGACTGTCATGAGCCGTAGTGCGGTTTTGTGTTTTTTTTGGTCATTGTTTGTTTGTTTGGTCTGGTCTTACCCCGAGTGTCCCTGGCCCTGGTGCTGTTTTGCTTTGCGGTCAATTTCTTAGGTTCGACCTTGTCCTCGAGTTTCCCTGCCCTTTTCGTGGCCTGTCGCTGCTGGCAATTTGCCCCCTACCTTCCTGGACTGTCCCTGGGCCCATTGCTGCCTTTTTCTGGTTCGGCCTTGCCCCCGTTTGTGCCCAGGCTTGGCAAGACAGCTCAGGATATCGCGATCAATACAATACATTCTCGAGTGTGGAGGTGGTCTTGGAGGGATTTCAGAAGTCTCCGGAGATCCCCGTCCTCCTCTTGGCTCTCTTTTCCCTTGCTCTTTTGTTCCCCTCTCTGTCGTTCTTGCCTTCCGTTCCTTCTCCTCCTCCTCCTCCTCCTCCTCAAACGCTTTTTTTTGTCCCCCTCCTCCTTCTCCTCCCTTCTCCTTCTTCTTTGTCGTTCTTCCCTCCGTTCCTTCTCCTCTTTCTCCTCCTCCTCCTTCTCTCCTTCTTTTTGTCCCCCTCCTCATCCTCCTTCTCTTTGCTCCCCTCCCTCGCTCCGCTACCTCGCAGCAGCGCTGCCAGGCACGGTCTCCGCGCGGCGGCGAACCTGGAGCTGCTGCTCTCAGTGGGCGGGGCGCCCAGCCGTGCCTCGCCTCGGCCCCCCCGTTCCTTCGGGCTGCGCTCCAGACGAGCTTGGAAAGGGGCTGGGTGCAGGGTAGTTTCACGCGCGCGCGCCGTCCCTCCGCGTCATGTGCGGACTTGGGGACTTGGAGTGTGCGCCAGGAGGATGAGGAGCACGAGTACGACGACGAGGACGACGAGACGAGGACGACGACGGGGACGAGGACGAGGAGGACGACGGCGACGACGACGAGGACGACGTCGTCGCCGATGCCGACGCCGACGACGACGCCGATGCTGGCGCGCCGACGCCGACGCCGATGCCGACGCCGACGCTGACGCCGTCGCCGACGACTTCGACGACTACGACGACGACGACGTCGACGACGACGACGTCGGCGATAACGGCGACAACGACCACGACGATCACGGCGACCACCACGACTACGACGACGACGACGGCGACAATGACAACGACGACGACGACGACGGCGGTGGCGGCGACGATGACGACGATGACGGCGGTGGCGGCGGCGGCGGTTGCGGCGGCGACGACGACGACGACGTTTGCGGCGTCTTTGCGTCGGAGGCTTGGCTGTTTCTGGACATTCCCCCTCGTCGCCGACTTAGCGTAGCTCGACAAACTGGCCCTGATGGTTTGCTTTGTTGTGCAAATTTGGGCTTGCCTTTTCCAGTCTAATCTGGCTTGGTGTGGCTCACTTCTGCTTATCCATCTCAATATTGTAGGGTCTCCGTTCAGCAAACGAAGCTTCTAATCTAGCCCAACCGCATTTTATCGCGCGTTGAAATACCTTCCCGGAGATGCCACAACGTTTCTTGCGAATAGGAGGACCGACCACCGCGAAATTTCCACAGGCCCATGGGCTTTCCGCCCCCCGCAGGCAAGCACTCCACCCCTCAGGGAGGATGATGATGAGGAGGCGGAGGAGGAGGCAGAGGGAGGCGCACCTCAGACAGGGGAGGTTGACCTCATAGACCGGGAGGTATTTTTTCGGCCCGCCTGGGGTTCTTGCGCTTGATGCTTCCTTGTTGTTTTCGCACAACCCCTTTGGCCAACTTTACAGCCTCAGGCGCAGTAGTATGAGGTGGTACCAGACTCTTCATCGTTGTCTGCGGCCAGGTTACAGTTTCAATAATGATGGCTCAGCGCTGGGCACGCCATGGTTGCGCAAGGCACGAGTTGGATAATGAGTAGGAGGAGGGTGCTCATCGCACGCTTCGCGTATTGCGTCTGGTACCCACACTACGCAAGGTTTTTGGGAATGCTGCCAAACCGCTTGCCGTTCTGCGAGGCCAACACATTCGACGTCGGTTGTTTTCACGATGTGGCCTTCCGAGCCCAGGGGACTGCGTCCTGGGTAACGCTTTTCTGTCGCGGGTCGTCCTTTGATGGTCGTGTTCCAGAGTCCCAAACTTAGAAACAGCGTGACTTGTCCACGGCGCCAGAGCTGGAGAGCCACCGCGTCACCAGCTGCGCCCTCACTCTGCAGCGCGCGGACCCGGGCGGGGCGAGGGCGAGGGAGGCGGTTTTCTAAGAAGGCAGGGACCCTATGAGACGCCCTCCTGCCTTCCGAGAGACCCTGGTCCCCTCTCAAAGGTCCTGGCTCTTCCTTGTAAGGCCGCCCTGCTCGCCCCCACTGATAAACACTGTGCAGGATAGGTCTGCGGTCTCCTCCCGGGGGCATTTTGGCAACATGGAGGCTAACATAAGCCTCACGCGACCCGAATTTTCGGGGTCTTCCTTGGTCTAGAGCAGTTCAAAGCAGCTCGAGGCAATGCAACGTAATGCTTGGCATTGCTTGGCATTGTGCTTGGCAATGCTTTTCGTTGCTTCGCGTTGCCTGGCATTGCTTGGCATTCCGTGTCATTGCTGAGGAGCCCAAGCGAGGAACCCGAGAAGTTCCGAGGAACCCACGCGAGGAATCCAGAGTTACCCAAACGATGAACCCGAGGAACCACGATGAACCCAAGCGAAGAATCGCGATGACACCGAGCAATGCCTGGATGAACCGAAGAGCAAGGAAATCGATCAGCGCCGAGCCCCGCCGTTGACAAGCACCGCCGCACATCACGGCTTCTCAACAGAACAAGTCGGAACCCCGTAGGCAAGGCCAATTGGGGGGAAAGACGGGCCAAGAGCGCCCTGCCCCCCTTCCCCCTTGGTGCGCGCCGCCCGAGCGGGGTCGTTCGAGCGGGCGGTCCTGGCGGTATCCCGCGGAGGGGGAGGAGGGAGGGAGGGAGGGAGAAGGAGGGAGCAGGGATTGGGGATGAGGAGGAGGAGGAGGAGGAGGAGGAGGAGGAGGAGGAGGAGGAGGCGGACGAGGAGGAGGAGGAGGAGGAGGAGGAGGAGGAGGAGGAGGAGGAGGAGGAGGAGGAGGAGGAGGAGGAGGAGGAGGAGGAGGAGGAGGAGGGAGGAGGCGGCGGAGGAAGAGGCGGACGAGGAGGGAGGCTGCGCGCCGCCAGCGCACTGCTCGGGCGAGCGTCCGCACGCACGCTCGGCCGCCTCGGCCGCGCACCGGGGCGCGAGGGCCACCGCGCTCCGCGCCTCGCGGCCTGCTCCGCGGAAGCTGCCCCTCTCGGGGGCGGCGGCGTGAGGGCGCGAAGGTCACCACGCGTCGGGCGCCGCGGGGCGCGGCGCGCGCATCTTCGGCGATCCGGCGGGGCGCGGAGCGCGAGGCGCGAGGCGCGAAGCGTGAAGGCGTCGCGGAAGCTGACCAGATCGGGGCGCTGCGGGCGGCGTGGCCGCTCCCGCGGCTCGTGTGCGGGGCTTGGGCCCGTCGCGCGGGCGGGGGGGGGCCCCAAGATGGCTCCGATGCGGCTTCCGTAGATCATTGAACAAAGAATCAGTGCACGTTGTTTCTTTTATTCGGCGCAGGCCGGAGCCTCCCCCGCAGGACGCCACCACTGGGGGCCAAGCCGATATTGAACGTCAATCCCTTGGGGTCTTTGTACGTCTTCATGAACACATTCCCGCCCTGAGCTATATCAGTTTGCTTCTTCATGAATATAGCCGGAGTGAGTGGGGCAAACGCCAGCTCCTGAGCCTCAAACGAACGCGTTGCGATCAGAGCACGAAGCTTAACAGGCGTAATCACGCCACTCAAGTATTTGAGACAGTTACTGTTCTGGTGGTATACATCGTCCAAGGCCAGCCTGATTTTGGCCTCCTCGATATTCCACTGGTAATCGACCAACTTGAGGGGCCATGGTCAACAAACTTGTCGATCGTTTCCTATAGGATGGGAGAGCAGCGACGAAAAAAAGCTGAGACATGAAGACGGGTGGTAAGCTGAATAAGATGAGGAAGCGACGAAAGAGAATTCACATGCATGGGGATGTATATGCATTTCAAATGCATTGCGGCGATGTCGCAAGACCGTCCTTCATATTCGTGTACACGACGAACTTGCCACGTAGGAAGTCGTCGATGGGGTGGGGTACCGCATTGCCAGTGGCCTGAAGCTTCAACTTCACACCAGTCGCGGCGTCGATGGAGATCAGCTCGTAGATGCTCTCACCCGAGTTTTCGCTCGCCAAGGCGACTTTGGCGCCAACCTCAAACCCCTTGTCACTGAGCTTGTCCACTTGGTTCGACCACTTGCCCGAAGCGGTGTACTCTTTCACATCTGAGCTGCGCCCCTGCCCTGTCACGGCTTTGGGCGCGCTCTCCGTCTGTCTCCATGGGCTAGCAATTGATTTACCAACATGCGTTGCCAACGCAGAGGTGAGGCTGACCCCGATGTCATTCAGCGTCTTGCAAGTGCCTAAGCGCTCATCGGGCTTGTTGAACACGAAGTGAACTACGCGAGCGTCCGTCAATCCCACGATGGTGCCGTAGGCGACCGTTTCTTCCGTGATGCCTTGACCGTTTGCGATCTGTCGCATTTTCTGAAGCTCATCTGCCATCATTACGATCGTAGACTTCTTATCGCTCGACAAGGCGGTCACGTCGCCTGACTTCAAAAGCATCTGATGGCCATCCCTCGCGAACTTACCCGTCGCGCATGCCATCGCCTTCATGCATGCGAGCTTGAATGTAACAGCGGCCCCTCTCATGCTTGATCGGTGCGTCGGCGAGAGATTTCGCCATGGAACCCGTGACGACGCACTGGGAGGTCAGCTGCCGCGAGAAGTCGCGAAGCTCGTTCAGGAAGATCGGGTTGGCGAGGCCGCCAGACAACTCCTTCGCGTATTTTACTAAGCCGTCGGTATCGCCAGGACAGAGAGAGCCTGCGCGAGTCGCCTCGCGGATGGCGCTGTCCCAGTCGATGGTGCCGCTTGCGTGGTGGCGGTTCGCAATGGCTGCGATCTTGTACATCAGACTCATGCGACTCTCGCACCTCGCAATCTGCTGACCAGCATTGCCAGCTTCTTGCGCAAGGTTGCTAATCCATGGGGAGCTGCTTGACAAACTCATATCGAAACACCTTCCATTCGATGCCCTCGCCGCAAGCCTTTGCGTAATCGGGCTGCACCTCCCGCAATCTCGTTAATGGCAATTTGCCTTGATGCGAGATTTTGTCAAATCGCTCTGGCATTACCGAAGGCATTGTAACTCCTGCGTTGAAGCAACGCAAGCCCGTGCTAGTGTGCCCACACGTAGAGCTTGCGAACTTGGCATCGCAATCATAGTGCGGCAACTGGCCTGCCGAATCCTGCGTTATTTTGAAGTTGAACGTCTTGATCTTCTCATATTCAGGCGTACCAACTGGTGGAGGTTCCATGCAAGCTGGATTCTGGAGGGTCGAAGTTTCGAATCCATTCCTGAAGATCTTCGAGATCAAATCCAAAACCTCGTTCGGGATAATACCATCCCCAAACCGATTCTCCATGCACACAAACATATATTTCGAGTGTATCTTCTCCACCCCGAGGCAATCGATGCTCAAGGCGATCCCGCATACATCTTCAAATAATGAGACCACCGCTGCATCTGGATGCACATGCGATTGCTTGATCGCCATCATCTTACCACTGACATCCGCTATCTGCTGTTCACGGGAGGCGTTCATCACGCCGTGTGCAGGAGGACGCCACAAACGCCAGCAGCAATCCTAGCGCAAACGGCTTGAGCCCAAACTCTACTGAGATTTAAAAACAAGTGCAACAGAGGGTTGCACATTCGAAATGATATGTCGCATTTGCAACGCGCCACGTTATTGCAACGCTCGAGACAATATCCTGAATGCGTTCACACGCAAGTCTAAATCATGATTTCCGATATGTATCACAACAAAAATCCAAACACATGCGTGCGTTTCTGGGGGCAACATCCAAGGACGACCCCATGCGCAGCTCTGATTTTCAAGTATGCATGTAAAAATTAGCGAAGTTAGTAACTTTGCTAACTCAGGCTATCTACCGCCAACTGCACCGACCGAGTTAGCCGGGATAGTAACGTTACCAATGGTTATAACCTACGTGTAACATACTTACAACCCAGTTACAACCCGTTTACAACTGCAGCTAACAATTAGTAAGGCCGAGGGCCTTCGGGCGGGTGGTGCCAGCAGAGTTAGAAGAAGGCTGATTTTAAAGAAATGTTTGATGGGCCGCGTGGCATGCAAGCAACCCGCCCCCCCCCAAAAAAAAAATGACGCCTCTCCAGAGCGCTTCAAGAGGCCGAAATCGTCAATTTTACGAAGGTGTTCGAACGATTTTGGCATTCCAGCTTTTTCTGTTTTTTCGGCTGTCCGGGCCGGGTCCGGGCCGGGTCTGGGCCGGGTCGGGGCCAGGTCCGGGCTGGGTCCGGGCCGGGTCCGGGCCGGGTCCGGGCCGGGTCCGGGCCGGGTCCAGGCTGGGTCCAGGTCCGGGCCGGGTCCGGGCCGGGTCTGGGCCGGGTCCAGGCCGGGTCCGGGCCGGGTCGCCTGGTGGGCGCCGGGTCGGGGAAGCCTTGTCAACACCTTCCTGAAAAATTGGAGGGGAGGGGGTGGGGTGAGGGCCCCCCCCCCCCGAAGGGGAAGAGGCGTTTTTTTGCAAGAAGGCACCGTTGGGCCACCTGCGCCCAGAGGGCTGGTTTGATTAACGAACGATAGCAGCGCGCCATTAGCAGGCCCCCTACCATGACGGAGAGCAGGGCCGCCCCGCTCGCAGACAATAGCTTCCTCGCGGAGTTGAAGCAGATGCGCAACATTGCAGTGGGTTAATGCATTTGGGAGTATCTGAAGCAGAAAGACCCGCTACTTCAGCCCAACAAAAGGACAAGATCATCGCTGAGCGCAAGAAACACATCGACGAGATATCGATGCCAGACTTTGTAACAGCGCATCTCTCATGCATCGAGCTCGAGCCTGATGGCGAGAACTTTGAGAAGATTAACTGCGAGGTAATCGCAATGAAGTGCTTGTTCGCTACCCGAGAACTTCGCATCGTTCACGCTGAATGCGCGCCAGATGTTGACACATGCACGCTGCGCCATCATCAGGGCGGTGCTCGAGGATTGCCAGCGCGACAGCCGAAAATGGTCATTCACGGGGGTGCACGGGGTGCGATGCGACAAGCGTCACAAGGTCTCTGCCGTCATTGGAGGATTGGGATTCTATTTGCAAGTGGGACGGAATTCCGAACGTCTTCCGCTTCTGACCAGCGTCATTGGTCACGTATTTATCGGAAGCTGGTATTCAAAAACCACCAGGCCTGACCAGCCCCCCCAACATCTGACATTGTTAACCGAACCGCGGCGTCGCGAAACAAAAGCGAGCGACGCTTCTCGACTCCATCTTTATGCCAGACTTATGTTTACAGCTGACTTTCACGAAATTCGCCGGTGGTGGCCCCGGTGGTTCTGGTGGTCTCGGTGGTCCCGGTGTTACCAGTGGTCGGTGGTTCTAATGGTCCTTGTGGTCCCTGTGGTACCCTTGGAGCCGGTGGTTCCCGTGGTTTTGGTGGTTCTGGTGGTGGCCCCCGTGGTGCCGGTGGTTCCGGTGGTCCCGGTGGTCCGATGGTCGTTCTGGTGGTCCCAGTGGCACCTGTGCTTGGATCGCCGCCCCTTGTTCCGACATGCTTCACGTGGTTAGATATATATCATAACATACTGATAGTCGGATGTAACGTGTTCGGACTCTTGCGAACTTGAATTGGTCCAAGTGGTTTGGATCAAACGTTGGGCACACATTTTTTTTTTTTTTTTTTTTTTTTTGTTTCTTCTCATTTTTTGGCATGCGTTGATTGTAGAAACGCTGCTTCGCAAACGAATCCGCGATCTTGATGATCCGATTTTGGGGGCTTCCGCCATTCGGATATACTGATGCAAACAAAGTCAATATAACAGATAGGCAGTCCATGCGTGATACGAGGGGTTGAGGAGGATTACGACGATTTCGACGACGACGATGATGGTGATGATGCTGATGATGATGACGGTGACGACGATGATGATGATGGTCATGATGATGGACTAGCTGATGATAAGGAGGAGTCAGAGATACAGAAGGAGGATTCTGAGCAGGATCGGTAAGGGACTGGTGGATTATTATAGGTGGAGAAGGAGAGGGGAATGCGACGCAACAAGAGGAGTCGGATGAAGATGAGGATGAGGATGGTGATGATGGTATGATGATTTTGAGGAGGAGAAATTGGGCACAAAGTGAATGCTATTGTACATCGGACATCGATGATCATACTGAACATCAGGACGCGGAGTGGAGGAGGAGGAGGAGAAGGAAAAGGAGGAGGAGGCGGAGGAGGGGGAGCACAATTATATTCAGGATGATGAGGAGGAAGAAGTAAGGGGATGATGAACGGTCATCACCGTAAGAATTCAGGCGACAAAACTATGAGAAGGAGGCGGAAGAGGAGGAGGATGAAGTGGAGGAGGAACCCGACGAGGATGACGGAGGAAAAGGAGGAGGGAGAGGAGGAGGAGGAGAGGCAGGAGGATGAAGACGATAACGACGACGACGACGAGGAAGACGACGACGACGACGCCGTTCAGCATCGGATTACGTTTGGGAGCTTTTGCTTACTGTGTCCCGGCCCACTCGCTGCGGCGCGACACGTTATCCACGTTCCATTCTCCAGGCGTCATCGTCGCGAGCCTTTCCCAGCCTCCCGCCTCCCGCCACGCGGAGCGGAGCGACATGCTATCTACTCGCAGGGCGTCGCGTGCCGTCATGGTCGCCGCCGCGACTCGCTATGCACAAATTCCTGACCGTCTGAGGCGGAAGAGGAGATGGAGGGGGAACCCGACGAGGATAAAGACGAAGGAAGAGGAGAGGCAGGAGGATGAGGTCGACGACGAGGACGACGACGAGAACGACGACGACGAAGACGACGAGGAGACGACGAGGAGACGACGTCGACGATGACGGCGACGGCGACGACGGCGACGACGACGACGTCGATTACGACGACGACGGTGTTGACGACTACGAGGACGACGACAACGACAACGACAACGACGGCGACGATGACGACGTCGCTCAGCCCGGGCTTTAGAGGTGCTGGGAGGGCCGAGGGGCGAGGAGGGTCCGCCCGGCTGCCCCGAGGCGAGAGGCAGCGGCTGGGCTTCGCGCGGGCGTTGCTGCGACGGGAGCGCCCGCCGCCGCCGCAGGCTGCCCTGGAGGCCTGGAACTTGGCGCCAGCACAGACACTAGGGGAGGAGGAGGAAGAGGAGGAGGAGGAGGAGGAGGAGGAGGAGGAGGACGAGGAGAGGAGGAGGAGGAGGAGGAGGAGGAGGAGGAGGAGGACGAGGAGGAGGAGGAGGAGGAGGAGGAGGAGGAGGAGGAGGAGGAGGAGGAGAGGAGGAGGAGGACGAGGAGGAGGAGGAGGAGGAGGAGGAGGAGAGGAGGAGGAGGAGGAAGAGGAGGAGGAGGAGGAAGGAGGAGGAGGAGGAGGAGGAGAGGAGGAGGAGGAGGAGGAGGAGGAGGAGGAGGAGGAGGAGTGGGGGAGGAGGAGGCGGAGGAGGAGGAGGAGCAGGAGGAGGAGGAGGAAGAGGAGGAGGAAGAGGAGCAGGAGGAGGATGAGGAGGAGCAGGAGACTCAACCGCAGGACGGCTGGCGGCTGCCTGCGGGGGCGCACGAGTGTTCGCGATTCGCGCGTCGCGGTTTGTGCCGAGGACGATTTCAGATTTTGGTTGTGGAGGTCATCTTCCTCCCTCTTCCTGTATACGGAAGGCGCCCAGGCAATCATTTTCACAGGTAGCTCGTGGTGCCATGTTGTCAGTGCCTTGCGCGCCTTTCCCAGGCCAGGGCTCTCTGCGTGAGTTTCCCATCGCAGGTCGGCTTGTGCGGAGGTTTGGATTTGTTTGGCGACCCCCTGTCTCGCACTGGTTTTACATAGCCGAGGTTTCGAACCCTGGTGGTCGCGCTCACTCCCTCCTCCCAGAAAGGATGTAGGTTTGGGAGGTCATCTTGTCCTTCCAGCCACCTGCGAACATTCGCCTGCCTCGTCTGCGGCCTTCCACGGCGCCGACCCCAGGCACTGAGCGGCCAGCCATCTCCGCAGATGTCTCCGTCTGGTGCCGGCGCCCCGGCGCCCACCCGCTGCACGGGTGCAGGTGCCCATCTGTGAGATTGCTCGGCTCTGCTCTCTTCCAGCGTCGTGAGACTGCCACACCGTCACCGGGATCGGGATCGGCTCCCCTCGGTCGAGACCGCCGCCGGCGTCAGTGTTTGTGCCGAAGTTCGAGCCTCCTATTCGCCAACCGCCCAGACCGCCACCACATGTATAGTTGTCAGTGCAGCGTCTTTCTCGTCGACGTCTTGCCAGCCTCAGAGGGCCCTCGCCTGGCCCTGGGGCCGTCAATGCCACGACGCGGGACGAAGAGCAGACCCTGGGTAAAGTGCCAGCCGGGACTTTTGGGGACCTCGTTGTGGCAATAAAGGACATCTCGTGGGCGGGAAACACATCCGTATCCACGGGCTCGCGGGCCGGGCCTCTGGGCCGCGACTCCATGGATAGGGGGCGTTTTTCCGCGGAGTCCCCGCGCGGAACGTATCCATGCGACTGAGTATCCGCGGGATCGCGCCCCAGAGCTCAGACCGCGAGAGTGTGGATATAAGTACGTTGCCGCTCGTGAACCTCGGACATCTTAACGATCGGGACCTGCATTTTTTCACATGTTCTGGGTTTTTGGGCTCCCTGGGGCGGGCCACGGTTGGATCTGCGTGTCGGAGTTCTGGCCCAGTCGCATTCCAGGAGTGGTCGGGGGGTCGTCGTGGTCGCGGCGTCGTCGTCGTCGTCGTCGTCGTCGTCGTCGTCGTCGTCGTCGTTGTCGTCTTCTTGTCGTCTTCTTTTGTTGTCGTCGCCGCCCAGACTACCAGCTCCTCCCCGTTCAGGCCTCCAGGCGTTGCACAAAACAATGCTTGTGAGTGTTCGAAGCCAATCGTGGGCCTCCTTGTGGCGTTTACGTCGTCGCGGCCAGGTCGGAAAGTCTGGCCGGAGCGCACCCTGGAGAGGTCGGGAGGTGGATCTTCGAGGATGCCGGGCCCAGACCTCCAACATTGAGGTTCGTTTTGTCCGATGCAGTCGTCGCGATATCTTGAGGAATGCTGAGTAAGGAACGAAAGTTCTGTCTGGCCATCGCGGTTTGCGGCCACGAATGAGTTCCAGTAGCTGGATCTAGAGAAAGGCCCTGCAAGTAGAGCCCCTCCAAAGCTCTAAGTGGTCTTCCGTCAGCGTTTTGATCGGATTTTTCTTCGACTTTTCGTTTCCGGGAGACCATGTCGGGCCCCAGGACCACCCCAACACCAGCCCAGAACGAAAATATAATCCCTGGAAAGGGGTCGAAAGCTCGGGGTGTTTGTGTATGGAAGTGGCCACGACGTCGAAGGTCTGTGTCTGCTGCTCCTGCTCCTGCTCTTTCTCATCCCTTTCCGCCTCCTCTTTCCCTCCTTTTTGTTGTTTTGAATTATTTTTTCCTTTTTTACTTACCCTCGTCATTCTCTCCCTCGTTTTGTCCTCCATGTCCCTCTTCCCTTTCTTCCTAGTACTGCTCTCCTCCTTCTGATCCTGCTTTTTCCTTTTTTCTCCTCCTTCTCTTCCTCTTCTGCCTCTTCTTCCTCTCGCCCTTCTGCTCCCTTCTCCTTATATTCCAATTTCTCCTCCTTTCTGTCGTTCACTTTCTCCTCCTCCTTCGCTCCATATTGTCCTTCCCCTCATCTTTCTTCTCCGTCTCCTCCTCCTTCTCCTTGTCCTGCTCCTCCCCCGTCGCCTTCTCTTTCTCCGTTCCTTTCTTCTTTCTTCTTTGTCCTCTTCTTTTCGTACTCCTTTTCTCCGTGTCCTCTTGTTCTCCGCCTTCTCCTCTTTTATGCCTTGACTGCTTTGTCCTCGATGACAGATTTTTTTCTGTCCTCATCTTCTGTCTCCTCCTATACTTTGTGCTCCTGTCCGCCACTTATTCTCCGCTTGCCCCTCTCCTCGGCCCTGCTCCTGCTCGCCCTCCTCCACCTCGTCCTGCTCCCCTCTTCGTCCTCCTCTTCAGCGTCCGTCCTTCTTCCTTGGCGTCTCCCACCGCCGCCCCCCTGTGCATTGTTTTGGTGGAGATGAGCTGTTCAGCTCAACAAAAGTCCTTCTCTTCTTTCTCTTCTGGCTTCCCTTTCTCCACCCTAACCACCCTAACCACCACCACCACCACCCACCACCACCACCACCACCACCACCACCACCACCACCACCACCACCACCACCACCACCACCACCACCACCACCACCACCACCACCACCACCACCACCACCACCACCACCACCACCACCACCACCACCACCACACCACCACCTCCCTGCTTGTTTTCCTTCGTCTCCCCCTACTCTTTCTCCTTTGTAGCTTCTTGCTCTCCGCATTCTTCTCTCCTCCTCTTCTTTAGCTTCATGTCATCATTTTGGTTTATCGTCAGCCTCCGCCTCTCCTCCTCAGACCCCTGCCAGCATTCGCCTTCTGCTGCTGCTGCTGCTGCTGCTGCTCCCCTTTCTAGCTTTCCTCGTCTTTACCTCTCGCTTGCATCGTGACCTACGGTGGTATCTTGTCGCGTCGGCACCGCGGTGATCCCGACGTGGGCGTTCAATGGTGAACGCCAGTGGCCCAGAATCGGCCGATTTCGAACGATTTGCGCCATCGGAGTGCCGCGATCTTCCAAAGTCGAAACATCTACGCGGTGTCAGAAACCAACGCCGACGTCATTCCGACTTGGACTCTCCGTAGTTCTCTGAGCGGGGGATGGGCGGGTGACGGGCTCCAGGCCCGTCAAGCAGCTCCCTCGTGGCGCCAGCTTTCCGGTGCTTCCCCAGGGGGCCGGAGCGGAGTGGGCTTGCCGCCTGCACCGCCTGCAGAAGTGCACGTTCGCGTGGAGAGAGAGAGAGAGAGAGAGAGAATGGGAGAGAGAAGGAGAGAGGGGAGAGAGAGAGAGAGAAACATAAGATGGAGGAGTGAGTGCACACGTGTATATGCTTATACTTATATGCATATACATGTATATATGTGTATATATATATATGGTTTCACATCTATATCTGTATATTCATATGCATATGGGCGAGAGGAAGCGCAGAGGCAGGGAGGGAGAGAGAGAGAGAGAGGGCAGACTTGCGGTCTCCATGGCGCGCGCGCGTTGCTGGACGCGGTGCCAGTCGGCGTCAAGCCGTGCGGTGCGCTGCGGTGCGCTGGTGGGCGCTGAGGCTGCGGCTGTCATCAGTGTACTTGATTTTGCAGCATGCTTGAGAGAGGGTGGCAGAGAGATGTCGCATGCAGGACTTGGACCTCCTGCTGTTGGATGAGGCAGCCTCATTTCTCGGAACTGTCATACGTCACTTTGTATGGCATGCCCAAGCAGTTGAGTGATTTGCTCCCAGCAGCAACGCATGGGATGAACTCGCATGGTGTGCAGGGCCGTCTAAACGATTGCTTGGTGTTCTAAAGTACGGGAGGGGGTGGGGGCGCGGCTCATCTGTTGCACACGACACCCGATTTTTGTTATATTTTGTCGTATTCGAATCGTTCTTCTGGGGGGTCCAGCGGAGTGCAGTGCCTTGCGCGTCTAAACTAGTCGCCTCCAGGGGTACTGCGACCTGTCAAAATGTTCTGTCGCCACTTTGTGCGCTCGTGGGGGATCCAGTGGAGTGCTGTCCCACGCGGCTCCAAACGGGATCTCGCTTCCCTGGGTGCGGCCATCTGCGCAAGCATTGGCAGTTTCGTTTGCTGCTGGGGGGTCCAACCGGCTGCGTATCTACGCAGACCAAGCGAGACCTTGCCTCTCCGCGTTGGAAGCCGCGGGATTGTCGCCACTTTAGTGAGCTCCTGGGTTTTCTAGCGGAGTGCGGTCGGTCCTACGCGGGCACTACCGAGTCCTCTCATCCCTGAGTTCTGCCAGCCGTGTAAATGTCGCCAGTTCCGTGCATCCTACGCAGACCCAAGCTAGACCTCGCCTCCCTAGGTGCTGCCAGTTGCGCAAGTATCTGCAGTTTCGTTGGCTCTTTAGGTGTCGTCGGAGTGCCGTGTTTCGCGGATCCAAAGAGACCTTGCCTCCCCTGGTGCTGCCGATGACGCAACCTTTGTTTTTTCGACAGCTATTTGGGGGTTCCAGCGACTTGCGGTGAGTTGTTGCGGGCCTGAGCGAGTTCTCGGCAGCCGCGGAATTGTCCCCAGTTGAGTGAGCTCACGGGGGAGGCAGCGGCGCCAGCGGAGTGCCGTATCACGCAGAGGAAGCCGTGACCTCGACCTCGCCTCCTTGGGTGCTGTCATACGCGCATTTGTCGCCAGCTTCCTGAGCTGCTGGGTGGTCCAGCGGAGTGCGGCCTGTTATCGATCCGATTTACTAGCGTGTCCAGGAGAGTATGGGACATGGAGTGTGGTCTAACATCCTCAACACGTTCCTTCGTATCGGATGGGCCTGCTGATTGTCGCCGCGGGTGTAGAAAAGGCTGGGTACGCCCCGGGGTAGTGATGATTAGGTTTTTTTGGTACGCCAGCCCAGTCCACAACGCAGATAAGAACAACTCACTTGCGGGAGGAGCGAAGTGCAATGGGGTGGTCGCTTGTGCGTCCGCGGTGGGCAGCGCTTCCGTGCCGCTCGTGACCCAGCATGCGAGCTATTGGAACGCGTCCAGCTGTCTAGCCGTTGGCAGTTATTCTTCCGTAGCCATTATGTTTGCAGCTATGCGTGGCTCTGTTCATATTCAAGAGGCTTGCGTCAGTCCGCCGATCCCAGCTCAGGACAAGCTTTTCTTAAGTTTGCCAGGTTGTCGTTGGAGCTGGAGCGACTGCGCTTGGCACCAGTTCTAGAACCCTCGCTACAGCGGAGGAGGACAATGACGACGAGAAGGACAGGGACGAGGATGAGGAGGAGGAGGAGGAGGAGGAGGAGGAGGAGGAGGGGGAGGAGGAGGGGGAGGGGGATGGGGAGTGGGAGGAGGATGGGAGGAGGAGGACGAGGCCTTTCACAAGTGTCTTGGGGCTTTTTGCTGGGCATCTTGGGACTCTTGGGGGCCTTTGGGGCGCATCGTAGGAGGTTTTGGAGGTCTCCTACAACCGTTGTCCCATTCAATTTTATGTGATATGTGGATTGTTCAACTCAAGTATTCTTCCCGCGCCAGAGCGTCATGTGTCCTCTTGCTGAAAGGGCCGCGTCTAATCCGAGGCCCGATTGGAAAGTCGACTGGCATGTCTGACTGCGCAGCTTTGGGTGACGAGGAACGCCCCGTGGAGTGCCCCATGGCCTGACCAGCGCGCATTAAAAAAAGCAATCCATGCATGGGCCTTGCCTTCGTATGCCCGTCGGCGCCGCTCCGAAATTGCGAGGCACGGCGCTGCGTGGATGCAGCGCAGCTGCAAGACTGCAAGCGCGCTGCGAGAAGGACGTCCTGCACGGGCCTCGCGGATCCGGCCCGAAAGCGCGTTCGGGCGCGAACGCTAATCAGGCGCTCGTTCGGGACGTCGGGGGCAAAATCAAATATTGAATGAGATGGTGTTTGAGGAGGTCCAAAGTGTTTTGCTAGTTTTCGGGTCCGTTGGGACCGATAGCACTTGTGTGGTGCAAGTCCCCGCGCTTGCTCACTTCGGGGCCGGCTGGTGGAACCTGCGGCTTCTCCTGGAGAGCAGGCCGGGCAGGCTCTTCGGAGGAACTCCTGAACGCTTAACTCATTTTCGGGTCCGCGCGCCGTTCAGGATTTGACTCAGGCGATCGCAAACATGGATTAAGGGGGCGTGGATTAGTGACGGGCCCGGTTTCCATGGGAAATCGCAGATTTCAACCGCCGAGCGAGGCGGCACCTGCCGCATTTTGGGGAGGGCACCTCCCCCGATCCATGGACTTGGCGCGCCAAATCCACGGATCGCTGATCCATGCTTGCGCGCCCCCCGATCGAAAGGACTATCAAGCCTGCTCGGATGCTGATGTGTTTTGTGTGCCAAGCGCAGGTAGCTTTCGCCCTCCAGGGGCTGTTCAGCCGAAATGGCACTGCACAGAAGCATCGGATGAAAGGTCGCTCGCATGTTCAGTTTTCTAAAACATGTCGCTCGCATGTACAGTTTTTTAAAAAGATTCTCTAGAAAACTGTGACGCCCTGCAGCGGGAGCCAAGCTCCGACTCCGGCCCGCTGGGGGTCCCACGGGCTCACCCTGGGCGGCGCCCCTGCGGCCAGACGGGTCAGCGCGCCGACCCCTGCCCGGGCCCCCCATCGCTCGCTCCGGCCTCGCCCTCCGCGCGGCCCGCCGGCCCTGGTTCGACCTCGCGCCGATGCAGATTGCCACGATGCGCGCCGCTGCAGAGCTGGGCAGTCTTTCTGATCGGCGCACTTGCAGCTTTTGACGGCGCCCCCCTTGGGACAAACACGATGCTCTGGCCGCGCGTGGCGGCGCCTTCTCTTGCGACTTACCTCATTGCGAATTTTGAGCGAGCCGAGGCGAAGTTCTTGGCCGTGCGCTCTGCGTGTGCGGATGCCATCGTGATCACGCGAATCGGCGGGCCCGCAAACAGTCCCTTCTGCTCTAGCCGCGCGCGGATGCAACCCGCGGCAAAACACATTGCGAAGGCCCTGCGGCAAGTATCGCTGACCCTGAAGGGGGACGACGACGACGGCGGCTGCGGCGGTGACGTCGACGACGACGCTGGCGCTCTTGAGCCCTTCGTGGGCCCTCCTTGGCAGCCTCCTGGGCCCTGTTGGGGGGCCTCTTGGGGGACTCCCTGGGAAGCTCTGTGGCCACTTGGGACCGTCTCGGAGCGGATGTGAGGCCCTTTGGAGGCAAGCAGGAAAATACGCAGCACCCCGCAACAGCAGAGAAGAGCGAGGAGGTGCTTCTGTGTGGGAGGGGGGGTCTGGGAGGAAGGGGGGATGGTTTTTTTGTTTACACGGAGAACAGGGGGGACCTGGTTGGATGGGTGGGCGGGGCTTCATTTCTCCGTGTCCACAGGGTGTCCCCCCCCACCTCAACGGAACCCAAGGGGCAGGGAGGGGAAAAGGGGGCTTCATTCCCCATTTTTTTCCACAGGGGGGGCCCGCCCCTGGGACCCCCCGAGATCCCAGGGGGGGCGGCATTCTGATCTAGGACGCCCCCCCCCTCGCGCAGGGACAGGATAACGGGAAGGGAGTCAATTTAACTGCGACGTTCCTTTATCTTGTTCCTCAGTGTCCTTGGGACTGACGACGACGACGACGACGACGATGACGACGACGACGACGATGACGACGACGATAGCGTCTTTTACATGCCGAAGGATCGGCTGATTTCTCAGTCAGCGGCAGCATCTGTTTTTTTTTGCCACTCGAGTATCACAGCGGCTGGGGATGTGGGGCGTTATGGGGTCCTCTCCTCCTCCTCCTCCTCCTCCTCCTCCTCCTCCTCGTCCTCCTCCCCCACCTGGGGTGTGGTGGGGGCCTTGGGTGTCGTCTTGGGAGAGGGGGCCGCTCCCGGAGCTCGTGCCATTAGTTCCTTCTCGGGGCCTCTCTTGGGTCTCCTTTGTGGCGGCCTCTGGGCTGGCGGGGAGCTTCCTGGAACGCCTCGCGGTCCGCCTGGTGTCCTGGGGCTCTCTTCGGCGCCTGTTGGGTTGTCTTGAGCTGGTCTGTGAAGCTTCTCGGGCGGTTTGGGATTCGGAGGCCTTCTTGGGACTCTTGGAGGCTTTTCGGGCAGACTTTGGGGCCTCGTGGGCCATTTCGGGGCTCTCCCAGGCAGTCTCGGGGCCATCAGGGGCTTCTTGGGCCGTCTTGGAATGGTCTCAGGGGCGTCGTGGTTATTTCGGGAGCCTGAGAAAGTGGCAACACGAATTGCATTGGTTTATCCGTTTCAACGCATTTGATTGTTGCCTCTTGGCGCTCTCTTGGGGGTCCTTTGAAGCCCTTTTGGGGGGTGTGGGGACCTGTGGAACAGTTTTGCGGCTAACATTGGTTTTCTTGAGGCGTCGTGTGCGCGCTGGCGTTTGGTTACGTCGTTTGGAGCGCACTTAGAGCATTTTGGGAGCGTTGGAAGCTTGAGTGTGAGGCTTCGAGAGCCTCGCGCGTGAGTTGAGGAGGTCGCAGACCTCACCCGTAACGGGTTTGTGGACTCGCACCTGGTAAGCGGGGGTCGGCGCAGTCAAGCGGCCAATGGGAGTGTGCGCCGATGCGATCAGCGTCGAAGTGGAAACCGCCCTGTCTGGTGAGCCCATCTGCCGTATCGACGCTGCGAGAACATGGAGTGTTGCTCTGTTGAAGGATGCGATTGAGGCAACCTCTGGCATCCATTACCTTGACCAGTGCTTGACTGTCAAGGCGAAGGTGCTTGAGGATACGGACGTGCTCAAAGAC